CATTCTCTTTTGCTGTGAGCCACCACAAGATCCTGTATATATTTCCCTGTGCTACACAGTACAATCTTGTTTATCTTTTCTACATTTTGAAATCCCAGTCTGTCCCTTCTCACTCCCTGTCCCCCTGGCAACCACAAGTTTGTGTTCTATGTCTATAAGTCTGTTTCTGTTTCGTATTTATGTTTTCTTTTTTTGATTCCGCATATGAGCGATCTCATACGGTATTTTTCTTTCTCTGTGATTTGTTTTCTTGAATGTATTGATGACAGTTATTTCAAAATTGTATCTGATAATTCCCACATATGAATCAACTATAAGTCTGCTTTTATTATTTGGTCTTTCTCTGATTTTTGGTCACTTGGTCTTCTTTCCTGGTAAGTCTGGTAACTTTCGATTGAATGATGGACATTGTGGATGAAACATTATAGTGGAAATTTGAGCTTAAATGTTACCTTCCTGCAGAGGGGGTTTGCTTTTGTCTCAAGTCAGGGTCAGATCATCCTAATCTAATCTTAGACTGAGCTGGTTTAAATCTGAGTTTCAGCTTTGGGGATGGCTCTTCTGTTTACATACCTGAGAAGTAAGATTAGCCCTTACTTTTAGGCTATAACTTGTCAGGTGTCCCAACTGAAAGCTGGGGATGTTTGCTAAGTTTCCTATATCTGGCATCCCAGAATTCACTTTCAAGATTCTCACTCCCAGGAGACTGCTGGATATCTACTCAGCTTCTGAGATACTATGCAGCTATCTCACATGTTTGTTTACAAATCTGCAAATACCTGCAGGGAAAAATGTGACCCGTTCTCAGATTCACATGAATGTACCTCTTTTATCTTGGTGACCTTGGCCTCTCAAGTCTGTGCTGCCCTGGTAACTTTTCTTTGTGTTCAAACTTGCTTTTCTAGTTGTTTTTGGTGAAGAGGCTGGTATGATACAAGCTCATCCACCGTATCCAGAGGAAAAGCAAAGAGCATGGACTTTGGAGCCAAATTTCCAGGATTCAAACCTTAACTCCATCGCTTACTTGTCCTGTGATCATCAACAAGGTATTAACTTTTTTTGAGCCTCATTTTTCTAATCTCTGAACTAGTGATGCTAATAGTAGCTACCTTATAGAGTTATTGTGATGATTTATCCAGTATATAGAATAACCTTCATTGTTCTGGCCTCCACTGTTTCAGTTGTTGTTATTATTACTGCTTTGAAGGTAATCCCTTTTTTCCCCTGTTTTTTAAGGTTTTTCTTTGAATTGTCTCTTGGCAGTTTTACTCTGATGTGCCAAAGGTGTGGGCATGGTTTTCTTTGCATTTATCTTGCCTTGGCTTCTTAGCATTTCTAACATCATATATACTTAAAAAATATATGGTATGCATCCTAGAAAAGTACCTGGAATCCAAAAAATGCTATGTTGTTATTTGCTCTTATTATTTTTACTTGACTTGTATTGTGGAACACAATGGGGTGGCTGGTCAATGGGCCAGTCACACGTGGGTTGGTAAAAGAATTTACCAGAGATAAAGGAGGAGAATGAAAAAGAAGTTTATTAGGGTACACTGCCATAGACAATAGCAGGCCACACTGACAAGGGGTGCCTGTGTGAGCACTGAGGGCCGGTTGTTGTGGTCTTTTATAAGGTCGGGTCACAATGTGCCTGATTGACTTGTGCACAAGAGTCTGGTTGGTTGTAGATGAGGTAAGAGGTTTAGGATCCGTGAAAGGTGGTGAGGTTTGACTCTGATAAGGTGGGCTGAAACAAGCCAGCCTGAGCTATTGTGAGATTAGGCATTACCTACAGCTATTAGTTTGTTAGGGCAAACATGGCCAGTAAAGAATGTACTTTATCTGTTGAGGGATCACAGGCAGGCATCTGTGAGCCCAGGAATGGGGATCATTGGACTTTGAAGGATGTCAGTTGGCTTGACAACCTGGTCTTCTTTCCAATCGGTGTGGTTTTTTTATATAAGTATATTCAGTTTACAATGTTGTGTCAATTTCTGGTGTACAGCAAAATGCTGCAGTCATACATGAACATACATAGGTTCGTTTTCATATTCTTTTTCACCATAAGTTACTACAAGATATTGAATATAGTTCCCTGTGCTTTATAGTATGAACTTGTTGTTTATCGGATTTTGTGGGAATCCCATATTTCGAAGTGAGAGACACTCTGCCAGAGTTTAGTAGGTGTTCTGTGCGATTCAGTAGGTTTGTAGGCGTAATTCTTGGTGTATTTGTGGGAGAGGGCGAGCTGTGAGTCTCTCTACTCCGCCATCTTGGCACCTCCCTCGGGAATTGACTCTTTAGGTAGCCAAAAGTGCTGTCTTAAACACACACACACACATACACACACAAACAGGATGAAATGATAGTGACAGGGAGGATTTGCTGCCTGACAGCATGAACCAACCAGCTGTATTTCTCCTGAGCCAACAGGATGGTGGGTTCTCAGACTCTGTGATTCAGGATGCTTTCCTGGGCCACCTCTCTGTGTAGACAGGGAGCAAGAATAAGTGACATGAGGTTTAAGATAATAGTAATTGCATATACTTCAGGGAAACAGGTCTTTCAGCTCTAGTGATGGGAGTATAAATTGGTTCAATTTTTCTTGAGGCACATGGGCAGTGTGAATCAAAAGTCTTACAAATATTCCTACACTTTGACCCAGCAATTCCACTTCTAGGAGTATGTTCTAAGGAGATAGTTGGATGAGGGCACAAAGATCTATGTATATTGACATTCATTATAATTTTGTTCACAATAGTGAACTGAAAACAACCAAAACGCCCAGCAGTTAGGTATTAGAGAATAACTAGGGGTACCTTCATGGAATACTATGCAGCTATTAAAAAGGGCACTGCTACTCCTTCATATTTATTGAAGTGGAGAGAGGTTTATAATATTTTAAGTGAGAAAAGCAGGTCCTAGAACTACATTCACTGTGCATTCACTGTGATCCTATTTTATTTATTTCAGTAAATTTTCTTTCTCCCTGACCTTTACTGAAGATGACTTCATGCTAAGACTGCATCATGTGGGTGGCCCCATTTTACACAGATTACTGCCACAGAGTAGCTTATTACTACCAATAATTTACTTCATATAAATTACTTTGGATAGTGTCTGACATATAGTAGGTACATAGAGGTAGAAAAAGTAAATATTTCCTTCAGAAAGTCTCCTAAACTGTTAAAGAGAGTATCTCTGTGGAATGGTTTAGCATTTTGATAGAATAGAAAGAATGATACAAAAATTGGCAAAATTTGGTGGCCAGAAAGCATGTAGTTGGTATGATCTTAATTTTGAAAAACACCGTACATGCCCCTAGAAGGAAAGTCTGTAAGGATATAAACAAAAACGTTAGCAGTGTTTAAGTAATGTTGGATTATGAATGATTTTTATGTCCCCCCCCTTTTTTTGCTTTAATACACCCAACTTCATGTGATGAAACAGACTGTCTTTATTACTGTATTTCTCTTCACTCAAAGTCTTAAAAAAACAGACTTTACTTACTGATATAAAATAAAACAATAACTTGTTGGTTGGCTGAGAATTGCTAGAAATTAATAAATAGTTTGGAAATTATTTAGTAAATTCTAATTACTTAGCAAAAGTAATTAAAATATTTATAAGCGAACACCCATAAAACACCACCAAGCAAATACATTACTCAATAAATGGTTTAATTAGTATTTCATTACTGGAAATTAATCTCAGTAACCAAACATTACTACAAATTACGTGTAGGATGGACAACTTATTTTACTGCTATTAATGATTTCAATTACGAAGTTTGTGCAAGTCTAATTCCCTCCCGCGTCTCCCGCCCTCCCCCTGCACCCACCCAGGTGAGTTCCCGCACACCAGGCAGAGTTAGGACGCTTGGGGCTGGTCTGACACCTTCCACATGGTTGGAAGTCCCAGATTAACAGTTTCCCTCAGCTTATTTCCCAGTTGTCTTACTGAAATACTAGCCCTGGGTGCCTCTTAATCAGCTGGAATCAGACTCCAGGGGCTGGTGGGCTTCTTACCACAGATATACTCTCCTCTGGAGTCTTCTAAATCACTTGGCTGCAAGGCTCGTCTCTTTCCCCATGTCTGTGCCAAGGCCTTTCTGGCACCAGTTTGCAATCCTGGTTCAGCTCTCAGGTTGGGCTGGTGGGAGCTGGGCCAGGCTACTGCTAAAGTTATAAAAGGACAGCTTCTTGCAGATTAGAAAAAAGGAATCCTTTCCTCCAGACAGATGCAGTCTCATGCGAGGGTGGATTTCAGCCCCAACGTGCTCCTTTCGCAGGTTCCCCAGGGAACAGACTCTGAGCCTCGAGATTTGCGTGCAGGACTCTTATTGAGGAGTGCTCTCAGGAACAACCCCCTTAAGGGAGGGACGGAAGTAAGACTGGGTAGAGGGACAAGTTGGACGACAACCTCACGGGAAGCTCTAAAGCTGGGATGCTTCAAAATGCCCTGGATTGAGGCAAGGAGGAGGGCAGGCCTTTGTCATGTCAAATGAGCAGACAGCAGATCAGACATCACTCTAGGGAGTGACTTGCCTCTCTTTGGCTGAGGATGTCCTGGAGAGAGACTCAACTGCCAGCCATTAACTCTTCAACACTCCCAGCATCTAGAGGAATGAATGTCTTGGTTCTGAGGGAGGAAAATGGGCAGCACACCAGCATCCACTGTAGTCCCCTTGTGTCATGGACAACCTGAGCAACCACACGTAAAAGCCCTTCTGGGGATGGGCTGAGGCCATGAGTTGAATGGGCGTGAGTTGTCCCATTGTTCTCCATTGTTTTGCTGAGGCTGGGAGGAGTCTTGCTTCTGGAGTTAGGGTGGGTCCTCATTTAGGTACCAGCTGGGATTTATGCCTGGACTGTAAGCTCCATGAGGGCAGGTCCGTGTGTCATGGTATTCCCCAGAACTTAGCACAGTTCATGGCTCCATTAACGTTTGCTGATTAAACCTATAGTAGTAGAGACAAACTCAAATGCATTAATATAAGCTACGTCACACTTGATGAAAGGAAATACATATCCTCTGATCTTGGAAGGGTCAGGGGAAACTTCCTCCAAGAAATAACACTTGAGCTGAGACCCAAGGGATGTGTAAGAGTGAGCCAGGCAGAGTGGGGTGGGGGCAGGGGGCTTCCCAAACCTCATAAGATACGTGTTTACCTTGGCCACCTCCTGAGCATGTCTTAGGGTAGGGCTGGGAGGCACACAGAGAAGACCTAAGCTATCACACTCACTGAATTTCTTCTGTTATCTGTTGCTGAAGTGTATCCTTTGTCCTTATTATAGCCTTATCTTGTATAAGATTCGTGTGTCAGAGAGCTTCTTGACCCTCTGTCAGGCTGAGGCAGCATGAATGTGCCTGAACCTGGAAGGTGTTTTCTGGAATGAGAGATACAGGCATGGTGTCACAGCTGGAGGTGGGGGTGCAGGTCACCCTGGGCCGCCCCTGGGGCATCACACATGGGGATGTCCTGTGTTGTGGAGGAGCCGAGGCTGGAAACAGCTGGGCTGCACCATATCTAAACTCTTCCTTCCTATTTGTCCTCAATCTGGGTCCTGCCCCTGCCTTCGCTATCCGGGCCTGTCTCCAGATTCCTCACTGCCCCAGAACCACATTCTGCTCATTTCTCTTCCACTCCTGCATATGCATCCTCCTCTTTCTCCAGGACCATCGCTCCACTCAGATGACCCACCCGTAGCCCCTCCAGGGAACACCGGTCAGCGACTCCAGGTCATACTGAACTCACCCCTTTCTGCGTTTCTATAGCCTTAAGCTGTAGATTCTTTAGGGTAGAGGCTGGTTCCAAAACCCTGGGCTTGCTATTATGCTTGGTGGAGAGCAAGGAGGTAGGGGGAGGCTGGGGGACAGGAGAAGCCCTGAAGGAAGACCCAGTATGCCTGTCCCTGCCATGACACCCTGGTTGACACCAAGCAGTGTGAGCAATGGCTGGGACGACATCAGCCAGGTGTGCTGTGAGCGGTGCTGCGGCCTGGCTTCTGCTGGTGGTGGCGATGGCAGGATGGGGAGGGAGGGAGGAAGATGGAAAGTTCATGTTTATCACGTCTGGGACTTTGCCTGCCTCGTCCTTAATCAGCCTACAGCTAATTAGCTGCCTCCCCCCAGCTGATAGAACACCATTAATCACCACCGGAGAAGGCTGAGGTCAGCGGGCCTCCCGCTGGGAGATTCCTGGCTCCTTGGGCGGGCTCTTCTTGCCTGGGGCACTGAGAGGGTGCAGGAGCTCCTCTGGGGTTGTGGGAGGGGGCCCCGTGCCAGCTGGGGTGATTGTAGGAAGAAAGGTGTAGCATCTTCCTCTTTGCTTCAACATTCTGAGATTTTGCTTGTGGTGACAGTGTCAGCCTCAGACAGAAGGCTCACTTGCCCAGACCTGCAGCCATGTGTCACAGTTCAGACCAGTGGGAAATAAGCTGAAACCTTTTGGGGGCTCTTAGGAAGGCTTTTCCTTTGCTGATAAAAGGTGTTGGATGCTGCTGATACTGCCCCTTCTTGCCCTTTCTCCTTTCTGGCTTGAATTCAGACTTGAAGGCAGCCATCAGCCTCTATGAGGGAAAGACCAAGAGAATGGCCATGACGCCAGCCGTGAGCTGATAAACCAGTGCCAGTAACTGTCCTACCTCCAGAATTCTGTCAGCTGAAAATAATAAATCTCTATTCGTTTAGTCCACCATAGGTTGGTATTCTGTTACCTGCAACTGAATACACTTCTAACTAATACACAGGGGAGCTCTGGATGATGCTAGCTTGACTACAGAGAGCAACATGGTGTTGCCAGAGAACAGGTCCTTGCCTCACACAGGAAAGAATTTCAGAGCGAGGCATAGTGAAGAGAAAGCAAGTTTATTTAGAGAGATACACACTCCATACAGAGTGTGGTCTATCTCAGAAGGCAAGAGAGAGAGTGACTATAAGGTGGTTACTCAGAAGGGAGAGCAGCTTAGGAGATACACACTCTGTAAGCAGGGTGCGGGCCATCTCAAAGGGCAAGAGGGAAAGAGGCTGAGAGGTATGGGGCTGTTTACTTTAAAGTAAGTAGATACACACTCTGTAGACAGAGTGTGGGCCGTCTCAGAAGGCAAGAGAGAGAGTGACCATGAGGTATGAGGTTGGTACTTTTTATGGGCTCAGTAATTTCATATGCAAGTAGGAAGATTATTCCAACTATTTTGGGAAAGGGGCAGGGATTTCCAGGAATTAGCCCCCCTTGCCCATTTTTTGCCCTTTTATGGTCAGCCTAGGAACTGTCATGGCACCTGTGGGTGTGTCATGAGGCTCAAGGTCTACTGGAAGTCAAGTCTTCCACCATCTTGGTTCTAACCAGTTTGTCCTGTCCTTAGTTGCTGTGTCATTCCTTCAGTGGCTGTGCCTCACCTCCTTCCCTCTTGTCCCAGTGGTGCCCAGAATAATCCAGGCATTCCTGGGCCTCAGCAGCCAGTAGGCACAAGTGAGGTTATAGTACCCAAATGCCACCAGCTCTGCCCCCTCCTCCAGTCCTTCATCCATCTCTTAAAGTCTTATTCTCTGACCCTTTTTAGCCACTTATATTATTAAGAAAGTATCTGGATGTGACATTGATGTATCAGTCATGTTAAGCTCTGTGAAATGGAGTGCCTGGTAAGTCAAACTAGATTTTTTGGCAAATAAGTAACACCTCTTCTCTTAGTAATGCATCATTTAGGTAAGGAGGCAAACATATTGCTTTGGGAAAAGGGTGTATTAAGGAATATTGTGATTCTAAGGTTTTAAAGAGCTGGTCACAGAGGTGGGATATTTGCATATGGGAAGACTGAGGTCACGTTCCTGACTAACTCTTTCCTTTTGGGCTTTAAGATGACTAGAGCCTTTCTGGTGAACTGAGTTGGGCCTCTCTAGATCCCTTGGTAAGAAAGGATAGAAAGGACCCCACAGGAGAACCTCACCATCAGGAAATGGGAAACTGAATAGGTGAACCAAGCTGATACCAGGCTTAGATGCTTGTTAGGGAGGTTGGTACCCACCAAGCAGCTGGCAGGGCCAAGACCTTCTGACCCAGACACTCTGGTGGAGGTCATGCTGCGGGAGCAATGGCTGCACGTAAGAGTGTGAAATAAAAGAGCTGTAGCCTAGAGCCCAAATGTGGGGCCCTGGTGTGCGTGTCCAATGTTGGATCAGCAAAGGCAGCACTGAGCCGTGGATGTGGAGGTGCCCAACTATGCAGGACCAGTTTTCAACAGCGACCCCTTGTGGCAGAAGGCTGGTAAGACTGTTCAGTTCTGTCTCCTGCTGGCTTTTAAAGACAGGGCAGACCCTGATGCACTGAGTAAGCCACTCCAGTCCTTGGGCAGCTTGGGAAAGGGGAGGGGAGGAAGACCTTGAGAGCAAAGAGGTAGCACAGCGCAGTGGTTAGGAGGAGGGACTCTGGAGTCAGACTGCTCAGTTCAAGGTTCTGCTTTCCTGCTTCCCTGGCTGGGCTTCATGGGCTGCAGGCCTGTACAGTCTCACAGGGCCTGCCGTCAACAGATCCCATCCTGGGCTTAATGCTTGGTGTCTTGAAAGTCTTCATAATTTTTTAATAAGGACACCCTCCCCCTCCTCCATTTTCACTGCTCAGGCGCCTGCCAATTAAGTAGCCAGTCCTGCTTGGGCAAATTACTTCTCTATGCCACAATTTCCCCAGCTGTAAAATGGGTTAAAAAACAAACATGCCTCAGAGAGTTGTTGTGAGCATTAAATGTGTTATATTCATCAAGTCCTTAGCACAGGGTCGGGCATGTAGTAAGCTCTACGTAAGTGTTAGCCACTGTCATCATTCCTGTTAATTTAGGCCGATGAGGACTCCAGCAGTTAATCTGCAAAACACAGACATGAGTTTGTTTGTGTCTCCAGCTAGTGAAGCAGACCAGATCAAGCACATGGGGAAACAATGCAAGGAGAGGAAAATGTGACCCCTGGACTTACTTCTCATATAAGATGAGATGCCTCATTAAGCCCACATCCATCTGGGCCCACAGGGATGACAAGAGAGGAGAAGGCCGGGGCCTGAGAAGTGTGGAGTCAAGGCCAACCTTCTGCTGCTGGCAGCAGAAGTCAGCCGGCTTGGCTTGGAGGGGCAGGCTGGGGCACCTCCGGAAGCAGCCTGTCTCCTCCCCACGGGGTCAGGCTGAGGGGCAGGCTGTCGTCAGACGCAGGTCCTGCTGCCCCTCCTCTCGGATGAGACACGCTGTCAGGGAAGGACGGCCCAGCCTCAGCCTCCGCTCCAGCCTGGGCTCATCTTACACTTACAGACCCAGATCAGAGGATAGGATGCTGTGACAAGCCCAGCTCACTGAAAGTGCTCAGCTCAATGAATCCTCCAAAACTGAACACCCTCAGTTTGAGAAGCAGGCCATGCCCACAAGTCAGGAAACTCCCAGCCGTGAGTTGCTCCCAGTTACTCTCTCCTCCCCGCGTCAACCACTCTCCTGAATATTATTTTTTTTAACCATTAGATTTCAATTTTCCAAATTTTTTGTTTTGAAAACATTTTAATTTACAAACTAAATTGGAATAATAGAATAGGAGCACCCATCTACTCACTGAGATATACCAATTGTTAACATTTTGCTACATATTCTCTGTCTGTCTGTCTCGCTTTCTGTCTCTCTTTTTTCTCCCCCATCCCCATAGACACAATTTTCTGAGCCACTTGAGAGTTATTTGCTGGCATTGCGACACTTCATCCCTAAATATCTCAGCACACATCCTAAGAACAAGAGCATTTATATAGTGCAATTGTCACAATAAAGAAATTTAACATGGCTACAATATCATTATATAATGTACAGTTGATATTCATATCTTCCAATTACCCAATATTATATGATTACATGTATATAATTATATGTATAATTCTATAATATATATAAATCTATAATCCAAACCATTTGCATTTAGTTGTATTTCTCTTTCATCTTCTTTAATCTAGAATGGCTCCTCTTTTTTATTTTCTTTTGTCTTGATAATTGACCTTTTTTTGAGAGTACAGGCAGGTTTTCTAGAATATCTCTGAGTTTGGATTTGTCAGATTATTTCCTAATGTTCCAATGTGCATCCTCACAGCCAGTTCAGCCTACTGTTGGTGATGACTCATCCCACTGGAAGGAGACCTGAGGCTGTGCTTTGTAGGGCTGGGACTGCATTATATTCTCTGATGAATTCCAAGCTTAGCCAGGGCCAAACCCAGAGCAAGGGTCCAAAATTGTTTATTGAATAAATGAATGAATGATTGTTTTATAGACAAAGATTACCATGCAGTCCATGGACCACTGGCATCAAAATCACCCAGAAAGCTTGTCAGAAATACATTTCCATGGGCCCCACTGCCAACCCCCAAACCTGCATCTCTGTTGATGGGACCTGAGGATTTCTATGTTAGTCAGGTTTTCCTAATATCCTGATAGGGAAGATTAAGTGAAAAAAGCACATTTCAGAACGGTGTGTGCATAATTCTGTATGTCTCTTTCTCTGTATTTTAAGATTATGAATCATATATAGAATTACAGTTTCGGGAAGAATGTTAGAACTGTTAACAATAGTTACCTCTCAGGAGTGGAGCTGGGGGCCTGGAGAAGGAGAGGAGGACTTTACCTTTACCTGCTGCACCTTAGAAATGACACAAGTGATCACTTAATACATTCTTTTGTGTAAAAAATTAAACCCTACAGATAAGTAGAGTAATTAAATAACTTATTACCCAAACTGAGCACCTGTGAGAGTGAAAGACAGTACTGTTATTAGTTACATCAGCAACAGATAAAACAGAGGCCATTCTGTGCAAACCTGGACAAGTGGTCACCCTGCCCAGGACAAAGTCCCCTTTGATCACCTCCCATCCTGCTTACGGCCACCCCCAATCCTGGGTAACCACTGTAACCAGTTTGATGCATATTTTACAGACCCTTTTAGTACAATATGTAGCCATTGAAAGCACCTGTCTGAGAGTTTCTCTTTTTATGTAATCGATATCACACTAAGTATATCAGCATGCAGGTTGGCTTTTTTCACTCCACATTCTCTGTCTTGGAGATATAGCCATGTCCAGCCCACGTGGGTCTCCTTCATTCCTTTTAACTGCTGTAGAGCATTCCACATGTGAGTTTTTTCCCATTCTTTTGTGGATGGATATTCGGGTTCTTTCCAATTCTTTTTTTCCCTCCCTGTATTCCCGCATTCAATCTAGGCTTTCACAGTCAGACAGAAAGTCCAAGGATACTTTCTTCTTGCATCTGTGGTGGAAACCTTAGCAGCAGACAGTATGTGCTCCAGGCCTGGCAAATTGATGCATGTTTCCAATGCTTTCGAATGACTAACCATGCAAATGATCACGATGACAGTGATACTGTCCCAACAGTGGAACAATCTAGCCTTCATCAGAAGTCAGTCTAAAGTTAAAAAATTCTCAGAGAATGAGATTTTTGAGGAGTGCCTGGATTTATAAGCAAGGTCCCACACCAGGCCTGAGGATCCTCCAGTTTCCCTGTTCAGGGTAGGTGTGGGGATTCAGAGATACGACTCTCCCCAGCTTCACCATCAGAGACTCAGAATGCCCTTGGCCTCTCCAGACCATTCCTGCAGTTGATGTCCAGCAGAACTCCCGTCCCCAGGCCTGACTCCTGCCTCACTGCTCATCCTCTTCTCCACTTGCCTCTACTGTTCACAAGGCTCTTTCACTCACCTGGGGTGACGCTGGCTATGGTGGAAAGAGCCAGACAGACTGTTCAAGTCCCTGTTCCACCACTGACCGGCTGTGTGGCCTGGAGTGTATCGCTTTCGCGCTGTGGGTCTCCAGGTCTTTATTTGTGGAATGGGGCAATATTATCCACTTCCTGGGCTTCGGAGCGCTTAGGTGGAATAACGGAACAGGTCACGTACATGCCTGGGTCACCACCAAGAGGTGGTGGTCATTTCTGTAAGTGGTCGTTTCAGTCCCCTTTCCCTTGTCCACCATGACTTTGTGTGGATTAGTGTCACTGTGAAATTGAAAGGTCTGTAGGTGCTCCTGAGGATGGAGATTGTATCATCTCCTGCTTTGGTACCATCTGTGCCCCTTTCAGGTCCTGGCATAGATTTGGGGCACGCTTTGGTGTCCAAGAGGGAGGGAACAATGCAAGGAGGCTCTCTTTATTCAGGGTCCTGGGAGGCTATCCAGAGAAAGACAGAGAAACAAGGCCCTGCCCCTCGGATAGATACTTGGCTTGTGGGGTTTTTCAGTCTGATGGGGTATTTGTTCCTAATTCTGGCAACTCCTGTTTGATGGAAGAGACCTCCTCTGCCTCCAGGGGACTTCCTAGTTTGACGGGAGGGATGTGGTCAGTACTCCCTGAAGCGCTTAGCCTGATAAGGGAGACGTGATCGATTCTCAGGGCAGTTTTCAGACTGATGGAGGAGACATACATCTGGGGAGCCTTCCTGACCGTCATTGAAGGTTTCCATTTTGCACGAACCTTTCTTACAGCAGCCTTTCCTTACATGTACATGCGTGCTGCTCTCTCTACTGGACTGTGAGTTTCATGGAGGTAGAATTGATATCTTATCTTTGGGATCTTTTGTCCCAGCTTGTTCCTGGGCATCCTGAGGGACATGTGAAGATTGATCACGTTCTCAGGGGCTCCCAAGAGTCGGGTTCTCAAGGGGCCAACAAAGCAATCCAGAGAATGAGAGTGAGTCATCAGAGGAGGGGATGGCGAGGGGTAGCCTGGGACTGGGGCCTGCCCTCCCACCCTCTCTCCACTCCCTTTGGAAAGCCACTGCGGCTCCATCTGTGGCATCTCAGAGGAGCACCCCCCCTAACTTCTCTCCCCAGGGGAGCTGGGTGCTGAGGTGGGCACCTCTGTCTGGGTAGGAGAGGAGACACATCAGACACGGAGCTGGCAGGCAAGTCAGAACTGCTGGTTAAGTGGCTTTAAAGTAGTGGCCATTTATAAGTTAATGAAAGAGAAAATAGGCACATTATACACACAGATTTATCCTTAATGAGGGGAAAAGGCATTGTTTACTGATGTTCAGTTCTAATTATCCACGCACAAGGCTAGCTTTTCTCCAGCAGTGCCTTGTGCTCCCATTCTGCTCTCTTCCACCAAGTTCCTTTTACCCCTTCAGTACCCAGCTGGGCACCAACTCAACCCTCAAAGCATCAGTTGCCAGTGCTGCCTGAGGAGCCAGTTCCTGAGTCTGTAGGGCCTTTGACTCCAAGACTCCTGGCAGCTGCTTGTGTCCTCTGCTCTCTTCAGCTGGTTGGCCAGGTGGAGGACAAGGCCGCCAGTGCCCTCAGGGCAGCCTCCATTGGAGGGAGGCAGAGCTCGAGGATGACTGCTTTTCTGTGGAGTGGACTGCAGGGTAGCAGGAAGGACCCAAGAGTGGAGACCGATGGAGGGTGGGCTGCCTGCAGGGGACTCCCCAGGAGGCAAGGGCTCAGGAGCACCACCTGCCAATCCCATCCTTTATGGTTTCTGTGAAACTGTCAAGAAAGGAGAAGAGGGAGGGTATTGCTCAGTGGTAGAGCCTGCTCAGCATGCACGAGGTCCTGGGTTCAGTCCCCAACACCTCCATTAAAAACAAACAAACAAACAAACAAACCTGATTACCTCCCCCGAAATAAAAATAAATAAATAAATATAAGAAGGAAGGGGGCTCCACTGGGAAAGGTCAACAGCAAGGTACATCCCAAGGGGTACCTCCCTGAAGCCACTGCTGAGGTTGCATTTCATCCATTTCTCACTTTAGCATCTGCACACATGAGGTGGCTCTGGGATAAACGGATAACCGGCCACTGCCCCATAGGCTCTTCTTTTATCCCCAGGTACTGGCCCTTATCTCAGCCTGCTAGATGCTGCTTATCCTCAGTGGGGAGATGAATTAGCAGTAAGGATGAGGGTGGGACGTGCATGACTACTACCGGAGTGAGGTCACAAAGCCTGCTCTGCTAGGGAAGTGGGTGAGGAGAGAGGAAGCTGAAGGAGTTACACACAGGTGGGCGTTGAAGTGGGGAGATGGCTCGGTCAATGGCACACCCTCATCATCAGGGGCACACTTGAGCTGCCTTGAGGAGCCCAGCCTGGGAGGGAAGGTGGCTCTCCCTTGAACTTTCTGGGTAAGTCACAGGCAGTAGTTGCTCATGCTGAGTGGGCCTTCACCGCTCTGCCCAGGGGTGGGGCCAGGAAAGCGTGGCTCAGGCTCCTTACAGGTTGTTACACTGGACAGGAATACACACAGTAACCCTGCAGCACGATTCTGAGGGTTTGATGGGAAAACTTCGTGATTGATTGAATGGGCTGTTGAACAACTTTAAACCAATATGTTAAAAAATGTAGATAAAATGGACAAAGTCCTAGAAAAACACAAATGACCCAAACTGACAAAAGGATAGAAGGCCTAAATCATCCTATAACTATGGAAGCATCTGAATCCTTAACTACAGATGTCCTCACAGAGAAAACTCTAGGCTCCAACAGCACCCCTTCCTGTGACAGTTACCAGGCATTTGCTTCTATTAATAAAGCTAGGACTTCAATCCGCAATCACCTCCTTATGCCTGTTTTCTATACATTAAGACCTGGAAAGAGGAGAACTATGTTTTAATCCTCCCTCCTACCCTCAACCCAGAAGAAATGTCCTGCAGCATCTTTTTTCATAAGCACCTCCTACTTATTTGCAGGTTTGAGTGGGCAACCAGAGGGCCTTTTATGAGAATATGTATTAAGGGTCTGTGTGCCAGACAGGTTGCCTCTGTTGATATTATTTAATCTACACAAGCATCCTGCAAGACAACTTTATCTTCATCTGAGGTTCAGAGAAGTGGACTGACTTGTCCAAGTCGCAGGGTCAGTGCAAGGCCACCTGACTCCAAAGGCTGTTCCTGGCCCACTGGATCACAGTGCTGTCAGAACCAGGCCGCCCCTTCCTCAGGGAAAGGCAGGTCATGACTGAGTCCTCTCCCCACCCCACATACCAGCCCCCATCCCCAGCTCTCAGCATCTAGGTCGGTGTTCCAGGTCCCTCCCACCCTGATTCCAGTGCTTGAGACTTTCTTCAGAGGGTCAATGACCCTCTTACAAAGCAGCCCCTAGGACTGAACCCAGCACTGAAAGGCATGGTTGGCTATTCTGGTTATCTATTGCTCGGTTAAAAATTACCCCAAACTTAGGGGTGTGAAGCAATTACTTATTATGCTTATAGACGCTGTGGCTCAGGAGTTCAGATCAGGTACAGCAAGGATGCTTGGACTCTGCTCCATGATGTATGAGCCTCAACTGGGAGATTCAAAGGTTGCAGGTTCAGGGCTGGGAACATTCCCTCTTATGTCCGATGGCTGGTGCTGGCTGTTGGCTGCAACCTTTGCTGGGACTCTACGTGTGAGCTCCCAAGGTAGCTGTGGCTTCCCCACAGTATGGTAGCTAGATTCTCATGAGAGGGAGCCAGGTGAAAGCATAGTGCCTTTTATGACTAGCTTTGTTAGTTTTGCAGCATCATGTCTGCAACAATTTATTTGTTAAGTTGCCACAAAGCCCTGCTTGATTTCAAGGGGAGGAGAAATGGACTTCACTTCTTGAGGGGAGAGGTCAGGGCTCTAGAAGAGCAGATGGGACTGGAAATATTACTGTGGTCATTTTCGGAAAATACACTGTGCCTCCTGGGCCCGGCTTAGAGGAAGCTCTCCAACCAGGAGGACCTGAGAGGTGCCCGTGATTTCCAACATGATTCATTCACCCAGCACAGTGTTCACCATGTGCCAGGGGCTGCTGCCCTGACTGGCCCCTACCTGCACAGCCTTTCAGCCCCACCCCAAGTACTTCTCCTGAGGTCCTGAGAGGTTTGATCCAGATGAGGGAACTCTGGGCTTAATTCTCTCCATCCTTCTGGGAAACATTGTTCTGGGTCACTGTGGCTACAGCCAGAGGATAATTTCTCCCTCTGGGGGCTGCTGCTGAACTGAGGTTTTATACTTCCATTTCTGAACAAGAAGACATATTAAACAGTTTCTATTTATTGAAGAAAATAACAAGAAGTTGTTTTTTTGCTTATATGTAGCTCTTATTTTTGTGGCCTCCATGTGATAAGTGGTTCCTCAGTAGGAAGGAGGCTCCTGCCCTTGGGTGAGATTCAGAAGTGAGAGACTCCATTTGTGAATTAGGTCCCTGGTGTGTAGAGGATGAAGCTGGTACAGTTCCTCTAACCCTTTTCTTTAGCACTGAGTATGGCTAGTATTACCGGTTCACTAGCTGTCACCCTGGAAAATGTGATGGTTGGGTCATGACAAGTTGAGGTATAGCCACTATAATAATCAGA